TTAAATACACCCCACGCGGCAATCCCCGCCCTCCATCCGTTGACACTGTGTGCAGTTGAGTACGTACGGCTTGGCGAGAAACACCCATAACTGTGGTCTTCAACTCCAGTGAAGCTGCAGTATTTCAGAAAAGCCCGTCACAGTGTTTCATTTAGAACCATGATGTTTACAGGTGGAAATTTCAGAAAAGGTGGAGCAATGCCGACAGTGAAAAAGAGGATGATCCTTTCAATGTAGACGAACTAGACCTAGCCTTGGATGTTGATGTCGTCAAGATATAGTAGCCCTCTACGAATTGTAGACACCCTGTCAAATGTGATCAATTTCTTGAGGCTACTAATAAATTAAAGACCGATCTCTTTTCGTAAAATTCGTTACTTGAACAAGTACAGAGGATACTAGGCGGAAATACTACGTCCAAATTCCAGTTTTCTCAAGAAGGATGCAAAATGGTGTTGCGACACCGAGCATCGAGAGGCTTTTGACAGGGTCAAACGCAGTCTCCTTCATTCGCCATTCAAGGCGATGGGTAATAATTCCACTCGTCATCCCATGCTGGGGAAGGAGTATTCGACTCGCTCGACGAGGTATTCCAACGTTCGGGGCGGGCGAGGTGTGTGGCGCTCTGTTGCCGAGGGCTCGAGATGTGCTACTTGTGAAGCCGCAACTTCAAAACTTTATAGTGCTTTTGATAAAACCCGTGAAAAAAATGTTTGAAATTGTCTCTTTGCTATCAGAATATTAAACATTGGCTTTGTTAACGTTGAAGAAGTAAAATATATGATTTACGTTTTGATCCAGGTACAAGAACGTGACAAATTTTTCCTCGCACATTGCTATTTTATACCAAAACAATAAAAAGTGTCCTGTGTTTATCTGAGCGCTTCGAACCAAGTCGAGTGCGCTCTATTTGTACGGTCAACCATATTGTTCTAAGGATCCTCCTTCTTAGGAATCGGCGTCTGTGTCAGAATGGTGGTAGCTTATTCTAAGCGTGAACGATACGCCACTTTGCCGTTCGGTTCCCAGGCACAAAACGTGGGTGTAAAGTGGGGAGACTTGTTCACATGCGCCATTCCTGCCTGGAGCTTTGCTCGGAAAAAGGCGTCAATGCTTTGGGCAGTGGCTGTTGGCGTGAAACGCAGTAATTGGTTCCCGGAACCAGGACAATATCATGACGCACACCTCGGTCCGGAGGTAGGACAAACGGCGGGTCTTTGAAGACGACGTCTTTAAATTCCCTTTCCAAATGTAGTACGGATCCCAAGGATTATTCAGGATCGACGATACACTTCGTGCGTTCATCCCCTCTTAGTGTTTTCCAGGACAGCTTCATCCAGAAGCGACGACGAGTCAATCTCTTCTTTTGGTCGCATAATCATCCTGCCTTCAAGGTACCGCCAAACTCTTCGATGAACATCTTATCCAACTCAAGAAGAGCATCCACCACGAATTAGCCTCGAGGGTGACGTCGGCGTCTTCTTCTCCCTTCATACCGTTGACAAGAGTATAAAGCTGTACACCCTCGTCTACGCTAAACACTTGCTGCATCAGGGTCAACGCCATGCGTCTTCCAGATAACATACGACGGCTCTGCTGCCTCTCCCCGGCGTCTTACTTCTCAGCGGGACCAGTGGTAACACACACTCGGCGTCGTCCTGTGTACTCCCGTCTCCATCGGAGACTTGATGTTATTAATAGCATCCTACGAAGAGCTGCTATTTCCGCAGGCTTCGTCTAGTGGATAAAGCGCCACTCCACGTGTATCAAAAGGGCCTTGCCTGAGGATGTCTCGGACCTTGTCCGACCATGCCACTCTTGTCATGCAGTAACTGCTTCGTAACATGAGCAGTCCTCAGTGGGTTACGTGCTAATCCACGTGCATCACGAGGGCCCAGCTCTTGATGCTTCAGCTATTTGCCAAACATGCCACTCCACTTGGCATGCAGCGACTGCTGACACTTGGGGAGTGCTCAGTTAGTTTCGCACCACTCCACGTTCAGCCCGCTAGCCACGCTCGGGTTACTTGTCCAGTACACCTTCGGTGTTTGTAACTTGGATACTCTGAAATTCAGGACATTGACCGTCTGGGTCCTGTGCCCGCGCCAATAGATTTTTTTCCACCTAGCAGAGCTGGGTTCATGACTCACCAAAGCCCCCATGCGCGTAGCGCCCAGGGTCGTCGACCTCCAATTAATCCATGGCTCATGGTGTTTCAACAATGCCAAACCAAGGGAATGATCATATCTTGCATTCAAGTCTAACACTAAGCAGCAATCCACGCTATTGAAGTCAAGAAACTTGACACTGAGGTCCACAGGGGCCCTCGGCACAGTGACACAAGCCCTCGTCTTAACCGCTGTTTGGCGCTTCGGTATCCAGCTGACTTCTGACTTCCTTCGATCGTGGAGCATCGAGCATAATTATTTGACGCTTCGAAATCGATAAGAATCTTCCGTGGCTTCTCAACGCCCTTCATGGTAGCTTTTACGACCAGTAAGTCTGGCTCACATACACGTCCCGTGTTCAAGAGCACGCAGCTCTTCGGGGCTGGGCTCTACTGCCCTCTACTTCCTTGAGGCGCAACAGAACTCAGTTCTCCACCAGTAGGGCGCCCAGCGCCTTGTGGGTGTTCTCGTTTACCGGAGCAAACCAGACACGCTAGAAGTGGATAGTCGGCTCGACGAACCTTTACGCACCTTGCGCACAGGACGACAAGTCCAAAGGTGACGGGTTTCTCGTGTTTTTAAATGCTGCTCTGCAGCTCGGAGCTCTGCCTCTTCGTCCTCAGCAAAGCTAAATTTTATTGGCTGATGCCGGCTCGACGAGCTCTGAGGGTGTGCATTCCAACCAAAGTCGTACCGACTTAGCCTGGCAATGAGAGTCCTCAACTCTTGGATAAAGTCCACCAACTCCTACATGCCCTGTCGGGCGACAAGAAAATGCGATCACACGCGATATGCCTTGTTAGGCGGCGGGATCACTCGCAAAAGCTGACGCTTCAGATACTTCCAGAAGGGGAACGCAGCTTCAACCAAAGCACCGCACGTTAGTGCCCATTCTCGCGCTCGGCTGCCGAGCACGCTGTTGCTCGTTCTGGAGAATGACGGACGTCATAGCCATCTCGGCCTCTCTTACCCGGAGTAGGAGCCTTTCTCCATACTCACCCTCAAAGGTCATAACGCTCAGCACCATAAGCGGCCTGGGTAGGAAGGGGTAATCCTTTGTCGACGGTGGAGTCACGGACGCAGTTGACGCTGACAGCTACTGCTGTGAAGCTCTAACAGAGCATTTTCATAGTTTAAAAACGTCTCCAGAAGCGCGTTGATCGACTCCGGCCCCTACGAAACAATTTGTTCTATGCCCAGGGGCAATCAGGAGTATTGGTCCATCCAGACGGAGGATCATTCGTAACGACTCAGACGTAGATTGACAACGATACTCCCAATTGCAGCGGGGCTGCCGTAGCTTTTGCTTAGAGGAAGCTAAGCTAAGATTACCGACCTTACGTTCTTTACAAGAACAAGTGTAGCAGATCGCAATCCGCCACCTCCAAGAATACCTAAGAGCTTAACCAAGGTAAAGAGACTCTTCCGTTCAAAATCGAAACTGTAATTATTTGTTTTAGTTGCGGAAAACAACCTCCGCCGCAACTACCAATAACCTTAAATTTTTCTTATTGATGTAGTAATACATAATAGTACACCTATTTAATATGGATTACTTCTGGCTTCTTGTTACAGTGTAGCCGCACCGTTGTGTAATTACACTACTTGTGTGATCCGCCCTTTCATACAAGGGGTATGTGTAACTCCGTTACAATCTTGGTACGTGTAACCCCGTTACAGCTGGAACACCCAGTAATTATACATTTAATCAGGTTTTGTTACTCATATAGAAAATATTTTGCCGCAAATAAAACCGACAAACAGAAAACGGAAGAATTGATTAGCCTTGGACTAAGGTTGTAATTACTCTTAAAGTAAGAGGATTGCGATCCGCGAAATTCGAAAGTATAGAACGAAGGTCACCGACCTTAACCAAGATTCCTGTAAGCGAAAGAACTACGGTAGCCCCGCTACACTTTGAAGCAGTTTAACTCGTTTCATCAACAACAAAGTTAGTGTTGGAGGTGTGAATGAATCCGTTGAGGCAAATGTGCTAGAATGACTGTCACGATCACAATAACCTATTTTTGCATTGCATTGCATTAAATCGACATTGCCGTATGTGCTATCGTCACGATACTGGCGAATTACATCTGACGATTCAATCGCAAAACGCACGATGCTAACTCTGTGTGTCCAGTCTTACTTTGTCTATCACTGTCAAGTTAAATCGCATTGTTGATGTCAAATATCGTATCAAACTGTTTGATATCTTTGAAAACCACGCAATCAAAGTTTTCGAAAGCTTCCCGAGTTTTAGTCAAGGAGTATCCATTTCCACGTTGCAAAATGTAAGCAATGTTGTACTTAAAAAACTTGAAGAGTTTATCCATTGTGATGGCATCTTTCTTAGATTGATAACATAGATATATGTTTCTGTGTTTTAACAATCACAGATTGGCGGCAACTGTTTCGCAATGCCAGCATGACGACACATAAGCAAAGTTCGACCACGTATTTTTATCTTTGGTCGATATAGGGTGCTGTGGCATCGTCTGCATGTCGGGCAATATATATGAATTTAGATGACTGCTATCACGAGAATGACCGACATTTAGAGCGCTTGAGCTTTTTCTTCAACTGCTTTTTGGTTCTTTGACAGGGAAGGAATGGGACACGTTCTTTTGATCGTGTACGACAGCTAATTTCACACGCCCAGAATTGCGTTCATCGCTGTAAGGACTAAAAAAATGCCAATCAAGTAGCATACCCACACGTGAGCGCCAGTATTAGATATCCTCTTTCGTCTTCCATGTCTCCATAATTCTTGCTAACTGCATTAAGTACTCTCGCAATGAGAGGTAAAATGGCTTGAACTTTGATGGAGGCTGCCTTCACCATAAAAAGTCATCGATAAGCAATTTGCGCAATAGACAGATAGATACCTTTCCTACATCCCCATCGTCGGCATCAGGAACAACCATGATGAGTGTCATGCTTTCATTAATTTCTGCCAACAAAGACCGTGAATCATAGCCACACCGTTCGCGTCGAACATTTAGGTCGGACGCAGCAATTCATGCGATGTAAGTGTCTTTGTAATCCTCATTTACTACCTTATGCAAAAAGGAGCAACATCTTCGATACCCACGACAACGGAAGTCGCCGACGTCATGGCGTTTCCATCAGCTGGAACCACTTTCGCGCCATCGTTCAATATCACGCGGCAAGTTCGAAGAGAAGCATGGAGACTCCTCAACTGATATTCCATCAACTTTGAGAGTTAGCGTTTATGAAAAAATATCCGGCTGACCAACGGAGAAGTGTGAAGATGCCAAGGTGAGTTGCTCGCTGAGCTGCCGAGTTTGATAATTTCCGTAGCGAAAAAGATTTTCTTGACCTCGATGGCAAGTTTGATTTGATACTGGAATCCTTGCTCGAGACATTATCAACGCGTTGGATGGGCAATGGTGACGATTGCCGTTGACCATTCACAATATGCCTACTTCAGCTGCGTTACAGCAGATGCTTGATTTCACACATTCCTGGAGAATATTGTACTTTCACCTCGATGTATTTAATGCCCACGTTTGCGATTGGGTCCCATGGTAGAGAAGACGAAGTTCATTTATTAGCGTTCTCTCCTCAAATGATATAAACCTCAGACGTTGTTTCCATAAGATACTTCTTGTAACCTCTTATTATTACTTAAAAGCTCTAGGTTAATTCATCAGCGTTCACTCTTCAAATGA